TATATAGGCACTAATATATATATATATATATATAAAATTTCCCAGATTAAATACAAATATTACCAGAAAAAAAAAGACAGGAGCATCCACACACATGTGGTAACAAAGGCACACTTCGATGATATCTGTGGAGAAAACAGAAAGAGAAATATTGCCATAGTCTATTTTTAGGCTATTGTGTTACTGGTCCTTTTCACGTTTGAGTTTTGAATACGGAAATAAACCATAGCAGTGTAAACATCTATGGAGCTAAAAGGGAGACCATAGCAAATATAATTTTCCCCAATGGAAAAATAAAAAAAAACTGTGTGTAACTGGCCTTCGGTACTCTTGGCAGGATGAAAAACAAAACTTTTATTCAATACTTTTATCCACTCACTTTACCATCACTAGAAAGCTGTCACTCATCTCAGCTCGCGATCTCATAACGTTCCTGTAACGATCTCTGGAAGGAGGGACCCAAAAGCATACTTAACTCTAATTTATTGAAGCACAATAATAAACAGTACGAGCCAAATTGCTCCAGACCAGTTCTGGACCAGGTGGAGACAGGAGAATAGTCAGGCAAGCATGGTCAAAGTCCGGGGCAGTCCACCAGCAACCAAATCCAATTCAGAAGACAAGAAAACAGAATCAGGCAGGCGAGAAGGGGTCACGGGTTGTGCTGCGAAGCAAGGCGAAGGAGACAGCAGGTAAAGTCCAAAACTCTCAGTTTAATAATGGACTCAAAACTCACAAGAGAAAACACAACGTAGTATAACGTGACCAGACAACGAGTGACAGAAAGGGAGCAACTTAAATACAAAGATCAGGATAATGAACTAAATAGATAAACTAATAAAGCTCAACGAGACCAGGAACATAACCAAATAAGGGCACACAGGAACTAAAACAAAACAGAAGACAGGAAAACCCAGGGGTCCTTGACAACTAAAAGGGTAACATAACATTTTTTTCTTGCTGAGCAAAACTTTTCTCTATTGGGCGGACATTTCGGCCACCTGAGCAAAAACATTCTTTATACCAGACCTGTACAGCGCGCACAAAAAAAGTGTGTAACTTTTAACTTTAATGTACTATTTGCATTTAATTTGACCCGTGACTAAATTATGTATTTTAGGTTACCTGAGAAAACTTTTTTTTTTTTTTAACAGTATAATACACTGCCATTCAAAAGTTTGGGATCAATAATGTTTATTAAAGAAGTTTCTTATGCTCATCAAGGCTGTATCTATTTGATTAAAATACTGAATATTATTTCACAAAATAATATTTTGAAATATTGCATTTTAAAATAAAAGTTTTCCATTTTAATATACTTTAAAATATAATTTATTCCTGTGATCAAAGCTGAATTTTCAGCATCATTACTCCAGTCTTCAGTGTCACATGATCCTTCAGAAATCATTCTAATATGCTGATTTATAATCAATGTTGGAAACAGTTGTGCTGCTTAATATTTTTTTTGGGGGGCCTGTGATATTTTTTCAGGATTCTTTGATAAATAAAAAGTTAAAAAGAATAGTGTTTATTCAAAATAGAAATTTTGTGTTACAATATACACTACTATTAAAAAGTTTGTGGTCAGTAATTTTTCTCTTTTTTTTTTTAAAGAAATTAATACTTTTATTCAGCAAGAATGTGTTAAATGGATGAAAAGTGATAGTAAAGACTTATATTTTTAGAAAATATTTATATTTTGAATAAATGCTGTTCTTTTTAACTTTTTATTAATAAAATAAATCAAAGAAAAAAGTATCACAGGTTCCAAAAAAAAAATATTAAGCAGCACAACAGTTTCAACACTGATAATAAATCAGCGTATTAGTATGATTTCTGAAGGATCATGTGACACTGAAGACTGGAGTAATGATGAAAATTCAGCACTGCGTCACAGAA